ATATATATATATATATATATATATACACCAGTTACGCACATTATAATCAGCTGAAAATTGATAATGTGATTTACTATGAAGTTATGCTTACAGAGATCCATATTGACTTGTTCTCGATGAGCGCAAAGAGGTCGTTTGATAGTACGGATTGGTTGCTATCAGGTGGCCTCCAAATAATTGTACTGCGTGTGGTGACAGTTGTAAGAAATTGATATGTAACTAAAAAATATAAGATAGTTTACTAAAATGTGTGAATAGAACGCTATATGAATTATGCACCGACAATTATCAAATAAATTTTACTTTTGAGGAATTTAAACGGTTACTTACTCAACTTGTCCCCTCTGAGATGCGAGTGCATTGATACTTTCCTTATCCTCATCCGAAAGGTTCTTGTAAGTGGTGTATTTCTTGTAGTTGTACCTTTGTTTTGGGATTGTTTTGAGTGTGGAAGGGGTTACAACTTGCTTTTTTGATCTCGTTCTGTTGGCAACCACGGAGTTAGGCCCCCTCATTGGCTTTTTTGCACTCGGACCAGCTTCTTTGAAATCATCATCGGACTCATCGAGCGCTGGAATTGTCTCGGTACAGTTGTCTAGGGCTGTGGTGAGCTCTTTAATTGTGTGCTCATGTTCCGAAATTTTCCTTTTTGCCACCAATTACTGTTTTTGCATCACCTGGACAGTTGCTTGTAGCTCCATTATTGTGAGATCTGCTGGGGGCATGTTGGTGAGCGTTATATCATCGGAGTTATCCTGACTTGGGGTTAGCAGCTCGAAGGATGGTGTATTGTCTCTGCTTGGCGGGATTTTACTGCTTGCAGGCCTGGAAGGAGTCTGTTTTCGGAGTTTTGAAATTTCTTCTTCAAGGTTGGTGTTGGCTGATTGAAGGGATTCATTGCAAGTCTTTAGCACGGTTAATTCAGCTTGCAGCTCTTGTGTAGTAGCATTATTCATCAACAATCGTTCATTATCAGCTTTAACCTTCACGAGCTCAGTTTGGAGGTCCAAATTGCGTTGGCGTTCATTTTGCAGATTAAGATACGCTTCATTCAGTTGGATTGTAAGTCTATGGCCCAAGTCGTGTTGACTCTTGGCTTTCAATGATGATAATCGGTCAACCTGCAAATCTGGATTGCTAGACGCCGCTTGCATATTTGAAACCTTGGATCGTAACTCATCTGCTTCAGATTTGGATGACTGTAGAGATTGTTTTAGATCCTTTATTTCAGTTTCGTGCTGACGTACGGTTGCCTCCAAAATCGCTAGTCTGGTCTGCATGTTGGGCTCTGAACTACATCCCCGTGCATTTAAGTCATGGATGTCGGGATTATGGTCAACTGGTTCGTGCGGCGGAGAATCATCTGCATTTCCATGGGCATCACCAATATCTGGAGAACCCCCATATGTGTCACTGTTTGTAGTGGCATGGTCGCTGTGTTCTGAAACACTGTCTTCTACAACATCATCACTATTGGATGTGCATCGGTTCTCTGTGGATTCATACCAATTGAGTACGGCCTTTTCTTTTGATGAAGGTACCAATTGTGTGATATGAACATCTTTTCTGGGAATGTCCATTATTGCAATATTTCGTAGTGACTCCGACAATGTACGTAGATTCCATCGCTGAAATCTTGGGAATGCGCATTCTCTGGCGGGTCTCACAATGTTTGTTCGTTCACCAAACCAAAACTGGGTATAATTTTAGAGCATTTTGTTAGCACACAGTTCAATGTAGATAGATTATATTGTACTACGCATATATAGTTAACTAAATATTACTTAGTCGGTGACGCATGTATAATGCGTGTATGAAACAAAAGAGGAAAAACTTACCAATAGTAATGCTCTGCAACCATTTACATCGATTGCTTTGTCTTTTCGTACGCTGCTCATGAATAACTCTGTTATAGCTTTCCCCCAGTTGTATTAACTCATCATATCAATATCTTCGCAATACTTAAATGTCCACCACCCCACGAGAGATCCACTTGTTACGAAGAAGAAGTTGGTCACCAAATACAAAATGATTAGTCTTACAACATCCTCAACACTCTCTTGGTCCTCATTACCAATGCACTTCATCAGCTTTGTTTTGAGATATTTCCGTTTCAATTTCACGTGGTCACGGAATTTACGTTGTGCCAGGCCTTAACGTGGTTTGCTAGATTTGTTGGTGTTGATTTCAATGTGACCGCGGTTTATGCAAAAGATCAATTGGCATTCCTCTGGGGTAATGGTTATCTCCCCCAATAATGAATTTGTCTTTTTTTCTTGTCAAATGCCAAAAGTAATTGTGCAGTCCCAATTTGTGTGCACTTGACAAACTTGGCATCGACTTTCTTATCTGCAAACTGCATGACAAAGTAGTAGAATGGCGTTCTTTTGAGGCATCGTATATGGGCTGGCCTTAGAGATATGTCATTGAAGAAAGTGATGGTTGAGGTGAGGGTCGATCTGTACTGCTTTATATACCCCAATTCTTCTATTTGTTCTTTAATCACCTGCTTTGTTTGCACTGCGTTAGAAAACATGCATACATCAGTATACAAACAACAATGTAGTCAACTAGATACACTTAAATTAAGTATACAATACAAATAAACAAAAGTTCAGTAATGTACAAAACATAGTTGTCTAAATCAAGCACTTACTATTTTGTCTGTATACCTAGATTTACTATGATGTTGTTTGCCAGTTGGCCTATCAAACAATTTTCACACTCATGTCAGGTCAGGTAGTAGACTCAAGGCCATTTTTTGCAAAATGTAAATTCAGATGAACACTATATGAGATAAAATCCATGTTTTAGCACACTGTCAAATTTCAGATAATGTAGTGAACTGTAATGTAGTGAACTGTATGAATTAAACTAGGTAGTGAACATTTTTTAGTAGACATCATAATATTGTGAACTATATGGATTAAACTAAGTTTGACATAAATCGATGTTTTTGCACACTGTAAAAGTTCAGCAGTTGTCTAACTTAAGCAATTACTATTTTTTTTCACACCAGGTTACTATGATTTTGTTTGCCAGTTGGCCTTCCAAGCAATTTTCACAGTACATGTTTGGTAGTAGACACAGTGTCATTTTTTTAGAAACTGTAAATTCAAATGAACACCACTACTATAAAACAAAATGTAGTGCACTATATGTTTTGGACACTATCAAATTCAGATAATGTAGTGAACAATATTATAGTGAAATATATTGTATACACTAAGTAGTGAACATATCCTAATACACAACATAATGTAGTAAACTATATGGATCAAACTAAGTTTACAATAAAACCATGTTTTTTGCACAATGTTAAATTTCAGATAATACAGTAAACTATAATGTAGTGAACTGTATGTAGTAAATTAAGTAGTGAACACATCTTACTAGACATCAAAATGTAGTGAACTATATGGATTGAACTAAGTTTACAATGCACTCAGAAACAAGTTGACTCTAAGTTTACAAAGCAGTTGACAGTTAAGCATGGGTCATAGTTGACTAACATACAAAGAATGTAAGTGGCTTAGATATCAAATTGACTTAATTATGGTTACTTCAAACGAGTTGACCCTGAGTTTCTGCAGTAGTTAACTATTAAACAATTGTCATAGTATACTGAATGGTGTACTCATACAGACTATATTTCAGTGCAAATGTCTAACGTAGATCAACACATTTTTTTGTACAACGCATACAGAGGAATGTAATCAACTACACAGTTCAACTACAACGCCACCCACAATGTTTAGATTCATACTTATGCAGTCAATTACAATGCCCTAAAAAATAGTTCAATTGGAAACCAATGTGCATAAATTATTACCAACGTTTAGATGCAGTAAGTCAACTTTCATTTTGCTATGTGGCGTTCCTGTGAAAAGAAATAAAAAATAGATTATTTTTTTTGTACAACTATTTAAATGAAGTTAACTACCAGTATGGAAGATTTGTTAATACCTCTATTCGTGTTCTTCTCTCCCAATCGTTTCTTTGTTTTTGGTTTCACTGAAATTAATAAAAATTTCAGTGGCCCATGTATGAAACATAACAAAGGTAAGCAAAATTGCTATGAAATTTGCAACAAATCGAAGTGAAATTGATTGTCGATTTCAGACTTACCTTTGCATACGGTTTCTGTAGGAGTCTTCGATTTGTCGTCCGGAGTCGCTGATAATGGTGTCAGGAAGAAAAACTATGGGGTTAATGCACAAAATTAGGTTAATAGAAGTCGGTGATAGAGATGGGTGTATAGGAAACTACCTTTCTTCTTCTTGCCGTTCTTCACCATTGTTTGTCAACCTGTGTTGCTGACCGAATTGCACAATATAATGGTATTTTGGGTTTTATTTTTCTCTGAAGATGTAGCAAACTAGGGCAATGTATGAAAGGGGAAAATATCCGATATATATGGCAGTTTGTTTTTTGGGCGATTTTCTCGGCATAAATATAGCAGACCAACGGAAATGGGGGAGAAATTATATTGAAGAAAATGGTTGAAGATATGCAGTTTTTTGGGGAAAACGGTGGGGGAGTCTTTGCTATTACAAATTATAGGGGTAGTTCAGTAATTGACATTTCTGAGGGGGTTTGACCCATTAAAAATATTGTAAGGTGGTTAGTCCTAATATTTTTTCTAATGAGGGGGTTATATCTTATTAACCCTTTTAATTATTATTTTGTTATTATAAAAATTATTTTTAAAAATTATAAAATAAACAATAAATTGTAATTATATATTTTTTAATATATATATATATATATATATATATATATATATATATATATATATATATATATATATATATATATATATATATATATATATATTGTATTTCTATAATATTTTATATTATTATACATTAAAAATAATATATAAAAAAGTAATTAAAAATATAATAATAAATAAGGCTCGTGAGCTAACGAACAATTAAAAACTGACTCGAGCTCGACTCGTCAGAAAGCTCGAGCTTGAAAAACTCGAGTCCGAGTTCGAGCTTGAAATAAACTTTGAACCCTTTTGTAATAAACTCTTAAACAAAGTCCAATTAAACTGTAGTGTGCCCAATTGAACTGAATCAGGCAGGTACAACAGCAGGCACAGAGGGAGAACAAAAAAGAAAAATTAAAAAAGACAATGCCTTTTCAACTTTGCAGCTGAAGCTTATTGGTTCCCCTAATGGGCAACAACTCCCTATCAAGACAAGTAACGAAAACTGAAACACTAAAAAGAAACAAGTAGCTAGTACAAGGATGTTTTTGGTGCTTATTAGTTAATGCTTGTTTCTCTGTTGAAGCTTCTGGAACCAGTAAGCGGAAAACTTAGGGTACCTCTTGAGGGTCTTGAAATCGACGTACACAATCCCGAACCTCGAAGTATACCCCAATCTCCATTCGAAGTTATCGACAAATGTCCACTGGAAGTAACCTTCCACATTAGCTCCCTCGTCTATCGCCTTCTTTAGTTCGACTAAATAGCTTTTGTAGTAATTTATCCTTATTGTGTCGTTCAAAACCGCCGGGAGTGTTAGTTCGCCTGGCTGATCCATACCTGCAAAATATTTACGTGTAACGCTAGTTTTTTTTTTCTTTTTTTTTTTATTTATTAGTACTTGAGCTCAACTCGATTATTGACGTGTAATTACCATTTTCAGCCAAAATCATGGTGGGGTTCCCGTAGTGCTCTTTGATGTAGTTGACGGCTTTGTATAGACCCCATGGCACAATGTAGAGCCAATACGAGTGTGCCTGCAAACATATAGACAAGTAATTTCACATTAAAAAAAGGCACATTTAATTAGTGTACTCTGATTTAGTTATGTAGTTTCGGATGAACTCACTCGTGGTCCGATTGGCACTCCATGACGATCGTCTGAAAATATTATTTTAGGACAGATCATTGAGATATGTAGTAATTAGAAACATAAGTGTGAATAGAAATTTGTATGAAGAATAAATTATTATCTTACAAGCAAATCCAGAGTTCCAATCTTGCTGGTAGCCCAAGTTCTTGGGATTTTCTTGTTTAGCATCATAGATGTAGTATGCAGTGTACTGGTTTATGCCCACAAAATCGAACGATCCTTTGACCATCTTGACCTCGTCTTTTGTGAACTTTGGTAGCCTTTTCCCAACTATATTCTGCATTGTTTTTGGGTACTCTCCGTACACCAGAGGATGCATAAACCTTCACAAAAAAAAAAACCAAAGAAGTCAATACTGATTGTCAACAATTATTATTGTTTTTTTATTGTTATCTTTTTGTTTCTTAATAAAAAAGATATATTATTATATGTCAACAATTAAATCCAACCCGAAAATTATCGAACCGTCTCCACGGTTGTAGGGAAATGACTTAATATAAATTTATCGTACGAAAAGTTCAATCTTTTGTAGTGCAAGTGGTTAATTAGTTTAACATTGAAGAAAAAAAGTTTGGAGTTATTACCATCCAATGTGAAAGTCTCTTGCCCTTTGAGCAGCATAGTTGTCTGCTTTGGATTTTGTAAGAGGCTCATACCAAACAAAATCCAACAGGATCCCGATTCTTCCCTTCTGCTTCTTCTGTCAAATTTCAAGCACAAACAAAAGAATATATAAGTCAAAATACGTACTAATTATTAACCAAGAAATTAATGTTTAATTTGTTTATATTTTTTTCGGACCTGATATTTCTGGCGATATCGCTGAGCAGCAGCAGCATGGGATAGAATGAGATTGTGAGCAACAGTGTAAGGCTCAGTGGAGGAATCTCCCTCCGTGCAATTTCCGAATGCTTTAGAGCATCTCCCAGGGGCAAAGAATCCGTTATCGTAGCCAAGTGCAGCCACCACTCTCGGCTCGTTGAACGTCTGCCAATTCTTTACTCTGTCCCCAAATGTCTTGAAACAGAACTCTGCATAATCCGCAAAATCTTTCCTGCACCAAATAAATAAATATTCATAGTACCCCATTAGATAATAATATATATACATGCTATAGAAAGAAAAAATAGAGCTAGTGTGGTACTTACACTACTTCACGGCCTAGCCAACCTTTATATCGATCTTGAAGCGCTTGAGGAAGATCGTAGTGATTGAGATTGGGATATGGGGTGATGCCTGAAAAAAAAAACATTGGACGGAAATTATATTATGATTATTTCGTATCGACATCAAATTTATATAGGGGTTTTTTTATTTAATTTGGGTTGGATGTACCTTTTTTGAGCATGTAATTGATCAACCTATTGTAGTAAGCAACTCCCTTCTTGTTCACTTTTCCGGTTCCATCTAAAATTGTTTAGAGAATTGAGTCATTTTTACATGCACATGATTTAGTAGGAAAATCAATAAAATTAATTATTTAGGTAATTATAACTTGGTACTATTAACATTACTTGGGAATATTCTGGACCATGAAATTGAAAACCTGTAGGCATCAAAGTTTAGCTTTGCCATAAGATCAAGGTCATCCTGTGTATACAAAAATTTGAAAGTGTAAGATAAGTATCAATTTTAAGTGTTGATACACAAGGCTACCAGGAAACTAAACAATTTTTATCTTATTATTTAGTTAATCTTGGCTAATCTCCCCAACCAAACGGGGGCCTTACAGTCTCGTTGTTGTCTATATTTGTTGAACTTGTCATTTTATTTTATCTTTTATAATTTTAAGTAGAGTAAAATAAAGAAAATACTTGATAATTTTTTTTTTCTATGTTGGTCCCAATTGCCAATTATTAAGAGGACTAGAGAAAAGTGAAGGATTGGTCCAGTTGCATAATTTTCTTTCTTTTGGACCATAAATTGTTGTTTGTCTATTCTTATAACCTAAAACGTGATCAAAGATTGTTGAAATGTCAGTGTCGCACTTGGTCCTATTATATTATTTATATATATATATATATATATATATATATATATATATATATATATATATATATATATAATGAATTTCTTATAATAAAAAATATGTAGAAGAAACATGATGCATACTTGATTTTATTTTTGAAAAAAGAAAAGAAAATAGATTAAAGAAAAATATAAATAGTGGAGAAAGGGCATATTTTGTATCAAAATTCGAAACTGAAATATGACATCACAAAAGGTTCAACTTATCTCTGCAAATTAAAGGACAGTTTGATTGGATATTTGTTTGGATATTGAACTAAGAAACAAAAAACAAAACTGACCTTGTATTTGTGATACTGGTCCACTGACACTTCCCCGGAGGCATTGTTTGGCTCGAGTCCTGTGTAATAATTATTTAAATACATCACAATAACAATTATAATACCAAATATTTTATACTATATAATAAAATTTATTAGTGATATTTAAATTACAGTAACAACATCGTCATTTATACAAAGTTGATTTAATTACAAATGTTAAAAGATAATTTCATAATAATTGAGAAAAGGCTATAATAGTGGGAAAACACATTTAATTACTCTTGGTTGTGAAGCGGAAAACCGTTCTCTCCTTTGAGATAGCAAACAAAGAGGAATTTTAATATAGAATAAAATAATTACAAAAATATCAGTGTTTCTTTCTTTTATATATATAAAGATTAGTCTTATTGTAAGTGACTGACAATTTATAATACAAGGAGAATAATTACCAGGTGTTTTGATGAAAGTATCCCAAATGCTCGGGCCACGGCCATCTTTGCTGGCCATGCCCTCCACCTGGTAGGCGGATGCCGCCGTGCCGAACACAAAATTCTTGGGGAAGGTGCGTCTGCTCAGCCCACCAAGGTCCAGGCCGACAGCGGTTTCCGGCGAGGCATCGTCCTCGTGAGTGAAGCATTGGGATAAGGATAAAGTGGTGCAGAGAAAAAAGAAGAGAAATGGGGCTTTGCTCATCTTCACTGGTGGAAAAAAGTGTGTGATTGTTGTAGTGAGAATAGTGTGAAGTATTTGTTACAAGAAAGGTGTGTGTCTATTTATAGAGAGATAAGAACATGTCTCACCCATCACCAAATCCTATAATTATCATATAATTTAGCTGTTTTTAGTCTCTCAACCTAAATCTCTAAATCACCATTACATCTAAAATTATAGTAATTTAGTTTAGTCTCCTACCCTGGTCAAACTCTATATCCATAAATCCTGTATTTTCAGCAAATTTTTTTGTGAAGAAATTTTCATCTCCTATCCATCCACCATTTTACCATTTTTTCCACCAAATCCTATTTTTTATATCAAGTATAGAAGTGAATATAGGATTTGATGTAATTAACACCATTTTATAATTAGCATATACGATTATTATAGTAACTAATTTCATGTGATTATCAAGTTATAAATATATTTATAGTAAATATATTAGTGTTAATTAGTGAAGTAGTTTTCAAAATTTAAAATATATTTATCATTATTATTATTATTATTATTATTATTATTATTATTATTATTATTATTATTATTATTATTATTATTATTATTATTATTATTATTATTATTATTATTATTATTATTATTATTATTATTATTATTATTATTATTATTATTATTATTATTATTATTATTATTATTATTATTATTATTATTATTATTATTATTATTATTATTATTATTATTATTATTATTATTATTATTATTATTATTATTATTATTATTATTATTATTATTATTATTATTATTATTATTATTATTATTATTAGTATCCACTGTCCCGCCTTCTAAGGTTTCAAGAGATTTAGATAATACAAAATATGTTAATTTTCTTAGTCAACATCGAAATCTGATAAATCGAGGAGAGCATAATGAACTAAGAAGAAGAATTGATAGCATATTTGTCGGATATACGTATTCAAATAGATGATGTTGAAGATGATAACGATAATAATTGTGAATGAGACTCATCTGCTAATAAGGGATACTCTTTCCTTGTTAAACCAAATAAGGTTTTAACGAGGTCCCTATTATCAATGAAATATTTTTTTTGGGCAAAATAATTGTTGTAATGTTTTTATAATTAACTTGTGTTGTAATGTTTTTATGATTAATTTACGTTGTAAGGTTTTTAGGAAATAATTAATGAAATTATTGTTTAATCGTGGTTTTATTATATGTATAATAATTTAAGTCGATTTTCATTCATGATTCAATAATTTTTTGATATTTATCATAATTTTAAATTATATACTTAATAAAATTATTGTTTAAGATCAAATTCATAATCAATATTTTGGTAATAAAATGGACTAAATTTATAATTAACATTATAATTTTGTAATATATTTGGTGAAATGCCACGGGAGACCAAACCAAATCCTATTCTCTATAAATGGTAAAATGGTGAATTATTAATATTTTATTATTTGGTATAAGATTTGATGAAATTGGTGGGAGACCAAATACACTATTTTGTCACTAAAAATAGAGAAATTATAGAATAGTGTGCTACGAGTAGGAGATAACACTATTTTTTACCACCAAAAATAAAATTTGATGAAAAAATGGTGTAAAGGGTGGGAGATGCTCTAAAGAGAGTGAAGTAGGGTCATGTTATAGATAGTGATTGGTTTCACTCATGCAACTGTGCTTTGGAGGCTTGTACCTTGGGGTTGACTTAAAGTCAAGGAATGGTGATGTTGTCTCAAATGTACAATGGTTCCCTTTTGTTGATTATTTGGAGCTAATTTGTATCCCCAATGAGTGTTTACTTTTCCAGAAACTTTGTGAAGGTGATTAGGAATTATGGTAAGAAAAACTCTAATTGTATTGTAGCGTAATCCATATATAATTAATTACAAAATACTAATTAAAAAATTGTTGAAGTCTCTTGTAAGATGAGCATAACCCAATTCGAGCACTACATTTTAAAACAAGATGATCATGAGACGTGTCTCTTAGTTTGTACAGATTGTGGTGCATCAGAAACTGCATTTTTGCACAAAACGAGTACAAACTAAAGAACATTCAGTAGAATTTGACGCCAGAAGAACGAACCTAAAAAAAAGATTTATAGTTGGGGGTGGTTGTAATTACTCAAACATAAAATGTTTTCTCATAATTTGACATTACCGTAGAGGTTGGTCGTAATTTACCCATAAAATAATGAATGATTATTTTTTATCATTCGGTTATGAAGAAATATTTGCAGGAACTATACAAAATTTTACATGCTTATTGTCACATGAAAAACAGTTGCACCAAAAGCTATTTAAAAGTACTGCTTTTCTATTTAAAAAGGAAAAAACATTGCATAATATAGGATCCCGTACCTTTACTCTTTATTTTTCTTCTTTTTCTCCTTTTTGGTACTAAAATCCAAGATCCATATTTTGTGTCAAATAAGATTGCCAAGTTAATTGAAACTTTTTCCTTCTTTTATTGGCTTTTCAAATCCTCTATCTTCCAATTGCTAGTTTCATTGTAAGCATATGTCCTTTAATATTAATGTATCCAATACATTCATCAAGTGTAAATAAATTATACTTGAAATATTTGAAATGGGTGGCGGCGGGATTCAAACTCATGACATTTTATTTGGTTTGACTCTGATATCATGTTGAATGACCACTTCAGACGAGGGTCAAGCCGGTGAAATGTATAATTTAATATTAATATTTCTAATAATTGAGACATTAGTATTTGAATTATTTAGTAACTAAGTTTTTTACTTGAGCTCATAGTTTTAATCATGTAGTTAACGAAAGTATGAAATAATATACTAAATATAATACATCATCTAAATTATGTTAAGTCCTATGCGGTTAGATATTTTATATTTTCATAATGTTTATTTAGTTTGTGAAAGAAATTGTAATTAGATTTTTTTGTTTATATAAATTTAATTTATAGTTATTCTATATGTAGCACGAACACTTCAACTTCTGAATGTTTCCACGTTTCGGATATGTTTCGTGTCGGACATTGGAGGACACCTATCGGACAACTTATGGGCCATTTTGCAATTTTTGAAAAGTTAGAAATTTGTTTTGAATATGTTTTTATGAAAATATATAAATAGAATTTATATATACATACAAACTTATATATATTTACATAACATATATTTCAATATACCCCTATAATTTTAATATTTACACGTTTCCCCCAAGCTCTCGTGTTCTCCTTTTTGGGATATGCCGTTTCCCCGTGTCCGTTTCCCCATTTCCCCGTATCAACGTTTCCGTGTCCGTGCTACATAGGTTATTCTTGAACTGAAAAATAACCGATGAAAAATCGATATATATATGGTTTATAATTTATAAAAACCGATGTATTTAATTTGGTTCATGTTCGGTTTTAGCCAAAATTGAGCCAAACCGAGCCGTGCACACCCCTACTAGATATTTTAGTTTCGTTTAAGATCTTTCGTGTGTTCTTTTGCCAAAATTTTCTCGCCTTTTTATCAGTTTTCTTGGTATATTGTCGGCCGTTAGAGGACCTTACAACAACACAATATTCGTATAGGTACCTCCCTTTTCTCAGTCTGTACCAAAAGCCCATGATTTACCCTTTTATCACAAAATTACCCATAATCCTTTCAAAACACCCAATTCAAAATAGGGTTAGTTGGTAACTTTGTCATAAATATTTGACTTGTCTTTATTAATAATAATTGGATACGTCATGGAGTTTGGAAACGGATGTGCTTATAGAAATTTTGTATTGTTGTAATTGCCCTTTAATTATAATTTCTTACTTCATTTGTTCCACAATACTTCTCTTTTTTGGAAAATATTTTTTTTCATGTTATATGTCACTACAAATTTCCAATACTATATTAAATGCATCTTTTTTCATATTTTAACCCTCTTAATTCAATTCTAACTACTATTTTTCTCTTATAAATCATAACTAGTAATTCACCCGTGCGATGCACGAGATCAATTGTTTTTTAAAAATTATTTCGGATAAAATAAACGAACGAAAAATTTGAAGAGTTGACATACATCTAAATAATACCCAAAAAAAAATGTTTTATTGAATCAAAATATACATTTGCTAGTGATTTACCTTCATATTCGCTGAAAATCTTTTGTGCACACAACCTTGCTCGTAAAGTTAGTTATATCGCCCGATTCTGAGTTGATAAATATCTTTATTACAAATTTACTTTTAACTCTGGACATTGCGGCGTATAATTGCCTATGCCACCCTAATATTGACACTAATATTACACTAACAACAACTACTAATACTAATACTAAAACCAACATTGATAATACTAATACCAATACTAATATTAATACTAAACCCAACACTAATAATATTAATGTTAATACTAATCCTAATATTAATACGATAATTAATACTAATAGTCTAATACTAATATTAATATCAACACTTCTATTAGCCAACCCTCATTAGGAGAGTTGGTACCTAACATTTACCAATAGGGTAAAAGGTCTAGGGTTCGTCCCCCCCCCCCTACGTTCCCTTGTAATGAACTTGAATTTACTCACAAAAAAAAAATACTAATATTAATAAACATATTGATACTCATACACATATTGATACTGATACCGATACCGATACTAATACTAATACCAATATTAATATTCATACCAATACTGATACTGATACTGATAGTGATACTGATATTCATATTCATACTCATACTGGTGTTGTTATTGATAATGACACTAATACTGATAATGATACTGATACTAATATTAATACTGATAATGACATTGATACTGATACTAATATCATACTAATACTAATACTAATACAAATACTAATACTAATAATACTAATATTAATACTAATCCTAATATTAATACTACTAATACTAATAATACTAATATTAATACTAATCCTAATATTAATACGATGATTAATACTAATAGTCTAATAATAATATTAATATCAACACTACTATTAGTAATAATACGCCAATTCTAATACGAATATTTAATGTTTAAACTAACAACCAATATTAATACGAACACTAATACTAATACC